CTTCAAAATTCAAACCATAATGCTGCTAGATTTTTTTAGTGAATAATTACTGATGTCTGAATATTTATTTTAGGAGGAAAAATATAAATATTGTATTATAGTTTGCAAGTTATAGTTTGACAGGTTAAGAAATAGGTTATTTGCAGGCATTTTTATTCATGAATAAACCCCAATTCTTTATGTTCCTCTAGCACTGTAGTGGAGAAGACAGAAGGGCCAGACTAATCATAAAAATATGCAGAAGTTACTGGCTTGCCTTTTACATACAAGCTTCACCCATAAATAGCTTAGTAATTTACATTTTAACCTATGCAAGCTCATTGTATATTTTACTTCAGAGCGCTTCACACAAGTTTTTGACAATCACCAATTCTGACAATCCGAAGGCAAAATTGCACTGGTTCAAATTAAACTGTTAAAAATTAAGCCAGTATGTTCTCAGTCACAACACCCCCATCTTGGGGGTGGTTTTGTCCTTTAGATGGATTGTCTACTTTCCAATACAGAGGATTCAAATATTAATGCTATTTTCAAATTTCTGTTATTTACCAGGAAGTATTTTGGAAAAATACTCAGGAAACAGTTTTGCGCAAAAAGCATTAATAGGATACCCTCCCTAAGAACTATATAGACTATACAAACAAATGAATTATTCACAGAAAACTGAGTTACGAAATATATGCTTAAACTGTAAAATATCATTCATATTTTGGTTTATAAACACAAGGGTTGGGAACTACTGAGTTCTTTTGGCTAAAGCCCAATATTGGCCTTATTTCAGTTTAATTGGAAGAGGATCTTGAATTCATCTTCTCCATGAGATATCAGGAACCTGGATTTCTGTTTGTACCAAAGGTTAATAAGAAATGTGTCTGCAAAAGTCAAACAGCATTAAATACCAAAAACTGATTATTATTCTGCAGGAGTTGTTCTGTCATTCATAATCTCTCCATGCTCCAACCTTCCACAGCTAATCTTTAATGGATGACATGCAAGAAAGAAAAATAACATCTAAAAAGGGACTCTAAAGTGAGCTTTGAAGAAATGGAAAATACTTTTTCCCCTGTGCTGGAAGTTATTGCCACACAAAGTTTATTACTGGCAAGACTACTTATTTCCTCTTACTTTATGGGATATTAAATCAAACTAACTCTAAGCTAATAGCCACTTGGATATTTGTTTTCACTTGTGCTATTAAAACTATTGCATATGCATTCAATAATTATTTTTCAGGTTAATTTAGGAAACTTCAAATAAAATTCAAGAACATTTCTGTACCATATTTAAGAGTTCCCAATTACCACATATCTAAATTCTCAGCATTTTTGTAAAAACAGACCTGAAAAAAAGGACTTAATTGTAGGTACATTGCTGTAGTTTCGAAGAGACTGAAAGCTGTATAACTTACACAGTATTAGAAGCCTCCTTTCCCCTTTTTTCACACTATATTTCCTATCAGTACTCTGGTCTTTTAGAGAGCATCTGCAGAACACTAATACAGCTTTCAGGCATTAAAGGTGGTGTGCAACACCTAACAGAAGTAGCAGGCCTGGACTCAATTCACTTCTTCCTGCTGAGTTGACTCAGATTTAAAATGTACTAAATTTTGGTAACATTACTATTAGATATTGAAAAAAAAAAACCCCAACCCAAACATTCCCCCCCCCCCCCCAAAAAAAAAACACAACAAAACAAAAAAATCACAAACCAACAAACCCCCAAATTAAAATAGCCCTTGCTACAGAAAGATTTAAGGAAAAACATTTTTTATTATATTTTCCTTCAGAATTATTCTTAGCCCTAATATATGCTACTATGATAGCAATAAAAATGTCCCAAAAATCTAGGCTCTAATGCCAACTATGGTCTGTCTTGTTGCAGTACTAGTGCGAGTTACTGTGAGAAGACATTCTTTTTTTTTTTCCCGTCTAGAAAGACTACCACTATGCTCTGCAATTCTCACTTGCATTCATCCAGCTCTTTCCTTTGGAAGTTCCTATAAAGACCCCTGTATAATTTTTCTGCTAGGAAAAAATGAACTCACTTATTATGTCCATCCAAAATCAGGTCTGTTCTCTCTGCTAGTTCGCCTCCCACGAAGTGCATCCATTCCCTTCTCTGTTCAACATAAGAAAGGTCTGCAGTCCCACATTTCAAGATTTGTCTATTCTTCACATCCAGTTCTCATGTGGTGTTCTCTTATTTCCTTGCATTATCCTAGTCTCAGTTCTTTTATGGTTTGCTCTTCCCTTGATATTCCTGACGTTGCCTCCACCTACATATTTCTTCTCTTCATGATGGGGAGGAAAACTAATGGTACCTTCTGATATTGGCTTATAATGAGAGGAAATCCAACAAAAGAATAATGAAGAAACAGCAGGACCCTGTGGCAGCTATGACCACCAGAAGCAATAGCCTTTAATGCTTAAAGGCCTGCAACCAATACCATGAATTTCCTAATTTTCCTTAGCCATAAGCTACCTGACACAGACAGGGATCCAAGGAAGTTGATTTTCTGGGAAAATTGATTTTCCAGGCTAGCAAAATTTAAAAATAATCCCCTTTTGAAAACAGGCTATTTACTGCACACAATATTAAACTTTCTCTTTCATCATGTATAACTTTTTCTTATTCCCTCATGAAGCATTTCACAAACTTACATTTTTTCTCTTGACTTCTTCCTTTGAGCAAATTAAAAATCATAAAGTGACAAACTTTGGGTTATTTGTTTCTGAAGACTGTTGTAGCTTCATTTTAAAATGGCTTTTGTCTTCAGCTTTTCTGTTCTTTACCTAAGACTTGTTTAAGTAAAACCCATTAATTAGAGGGTTACATTTTAAAATAGAATTGTAATATTCCTCAAAGTAGATAACATTTTTACGGTGCTCCTTTTAGACTCTTTTTTTTTTTTTTTTTTTACAGTATAATTTGTGGAGTCATTTTCTTATCATAAAGTCAGTACTAAGTAATAATACAAATGCAAACACCCATATTTACAATTTTCATTCTACCATGTGTTATACACTGCAGTAATTAAACATTAACTAGCAACACAAAATCAGAGTAGCATGTGTTCTCCTTTCCTCAAAGGACATAACACAAGCGGAAAATGTTGTTCCTTAAACCCACTGAGTCTTCTTTATTAGGTTCTGCTTGTCCACTGGAACTCTTCCTGAGGTTTTTATGAGAGAGACACACACACAGACCTCCACAAATTCAGTTTGGTTCACATCATCACTGATTTAAAAACATTTATCCAAACTTAGCAATGTTCTTAGAACTGTAAGACAGGAAGCAAAATCCCAATGAAATATTAACAAAGCTTCCTTTTAGCAAAGAGCTTAAGTAGTAAGGAGCCTCTTGCCCTCTCTCTTAGCATTTAAACAATTTCATACTTCGTGAACTCGTAAAAGGAGGGAAAAAAAAGGTATTTCTTACAGTTTATCATTATTGCACATTGTAGCTCTCATTAAAATCTGGTTTATTCTTCCTTTCAAAATGGCTTAACTATGTTAATTATTATATCCATAGTCATGTCATACTATTTTAAGAGAATATTCTGCTTAGGGCATAATTAGAAAGTTTATACTCTAGTGTAGGGAAAACCAATTTATTAACAAATATTTCAATTGTATCCATAAAAATTAAACTAAACATTTTTGGCACACCTTTTGACCCACCTTTCTTTCCAGGTTTAAATGGGCAACAAACACCTAATAATGAAAAAATATTCTCTTTGATAAAGTACAGAGGTAAAACACTGTTTAAATATCCAGGAATAAACACAGAACTTGGGATTCAACACAAACAATTTGTGTTGTTGGATATAACTGATAACCAGTGCAGACTTTTTTCCTCCTGAAAATAAAGCAAGCAGTTTATGTAAAATGGAATAAGATTATGCCTGTATTTCAATGTTTCATAATATGCATAGACTTACCATTTCTCCATCACAGAAAATCTAGGAACTCTCTTCCATCTATAATATACACAGAATACTGTATTCTCAGGGGTTTGACATTAAGTGGAAATTCAGCCATCTGTTTTTTTCAGCTGAAGAGTTTATTTTCTGCTTCATATTCCTGAAGATAGTTACCCTCCATTCAGTACCAGTATTTTGGGGACAGGTATTAGGACTATTAATATTACGCGAGTTGTGCATGGTCTATAACAACACAATTTTACCTAGCTTACACTTTATGAACATTATGATACGATATATTTCTAAAAGCACTCCCAATAATTTATTTGAAACACTTTGAGAAAAACCTCAGAGAGATTTTCTTCCACTGGGTATGTTGTACACACAGTCACTTTTCAGTAATAAAAATACTTCATTACTTCAGAAATTTCCAAAACTGCACAATACAAATTGTTGCCATTCTTGTATGTCTACCCAAAGAACAAATAACAACAAATATAAGCATAAATTCACTTCTGAGTATACACTTAAAACCCCATTAATTTTGAGAATTTATATAAACTTCACTCACTGGACACATACCATCACCAGACAAAAATTCATTATAACTACCAAAAGAAGAGATTCTTCACGAAAAGTGCAGGTCTCTAGTTGTGCTGAATGTGTGACTATCTCCATGCATGGGGAGGGGGTAGTACTGCTGTGAAGGAGCTAAAACAATAAGTGGTATTTGAACTGCTGGTTGAAAGGTAGAGGCACTGGTAATCATTATTTCCCCTTGTTTGTTCAGGACCTTCCAACAAAACAAACAACCTTTTTGTGATTGGATTGACATGGTGTTAACAATGCATTTAATGCCCAAATCAGTATGAATACAGGTAAAGCTCCTGCTAATACCAGTACCAGGATGTTAAAGCCACCTATTTTCTAAGCAACTCTAAACAGCCATACATAAAAAAAATAATCAAATCTTCCCTCCTTTAGCAAATAAAGCTAACATTCACCAGGCCACGTCATATAACAACTATGGGTACTGTATGACCCATAGAGCCATCTGTTAAACGCTTGCCTACTGTACCTGCAATCTTTTCTGCAATCTTAGCTTCTGTAGCTCTCTCTTGCAGTTCTAAGTTCAGTTTTATGGTCTTCAGCTCCTTGTCCTTTTCAGAAAGCTTATCTTCAAGCTGAATTGAACAAATGGACAGTAAGATTCTTACCTGGCTGAAACAGTCAACTAGCTCTTTTAATCACACCAAAATTTTAAATAACATATTCTCACCCCCAAAATACAAACACTAAGCAATACAACAGAAGTTCAATTAATTATTTAAGGACAAATGTTAAAAGTATCTTTTTTATCATCTGCCCTATCTTGCTGCACAAGACAAGCAGCAATGTATGTACCAGTATTTTTACTTGGGGTTCTCTTCTTCAGGTAACACCAGCTTGCTAAGGAAGTTCAGAATTAAATGGAACATAATGCAGATAGTATCTGCATAAATAGCCTATTCCCAACCAATATACTGAGGACTGACATCACAGGCTGAAGAGACTGTGGTGTAAAACCATATTTTTTCACGTGCCTCACTAGATAGAAAACAGCTATTTCACATGTTAAGGCTCTTCTTTTAACTGCAAATTTGCTAAATCTGTTCTTGGATAGATATCTGAGCTTGCCATTGAATATTCCATGACACTTCATGGAAAGACTATAGACTTTTCTGTTATTTAGGCACATGCAACCACTACTAACTCTAAAAAACAATGCAGTGTGCAAGTAGAATGGAATTTTCTTCTCCTCAACAAAAAGGAGGTTATTAGGGCACATTCATCATCTGGACCACAAGCTCCAGACCTCTATTCATGAAATCCTGGCCTTGTTTTTGGTCCTCCTTGGTTTTCATCTATGCTGCAAGAACCCATGTCACTGATTAAAAAGGTCAATGAATTGGATGAAAGATTTTTTTAATTCCAGAGAAGCAGCTGTTAAACAGATACTAAGAATCCAAAATGACAGGAAAACTATTGATAGGTGCACTAAAATAAATAACCAAACTAAATTAGGAACTGTTTAAAATGTATGTTTTGTAAGACAACCATAAAAGAGCAAATACTGTGATCTGAATATCTCAATTATACCTTTTTATTTTTTGCCCTCAGAGAGTCCAATTCTTTCAAAAGGAATGAAGTTTCTGTTTTTCCACCTAAATCAGCAGCATTATTCCATGAGGATACAAATTCAGGGAGCATCCTGTTAGCCTTTCTTTCTACACTGCTGTGTTTAGGAGGGAAAAAAAAAAAAGAAAGAAAGATAATGCAAAACCAGTTCCTCCCTCCCCCAAGACAAAATACACATAAATAAATTATCAAAACTTGTTAACCATTGCAAATATAATAAATAGACAGTAAAAGGGATGTCCTTCTATCACTTCTTAAATTCATAATTCTGAGAAAAATCTGTTTATCTGGAATAGTAAATAAATATATTACCATACTAATTCATAAACAGATGAATATAAGTTGGATATGAAGCTTATAAACAGAAAATACTAAATGGAAGCAAATATTAAAAACCTGTGCTTAATACAGAGCAACAAAGTAATAAAATGTTTAGGGATCAAGTTGGCTCTCTGGTTAAAACAAAACAAATTCTTCAATAGGATGGCCAATTCCACATTAAGTGAAATGATAATATCCAGAATACAAGATAAAGGAGTTTATCTTGAAGAAATCTGTAAAATTATGGTGATGGCTAAAAAATTCTATTTCAAGGCAAGACTTCTATAAAACTTCTTGGCTATCCATTGATACAGTTAACTCAGATATCACTTGTAAAATGGCAGCAAAATCAGTAAGTGAATGGATCAGAAGGGGGGATTAGCAATGTTTTTAACATTTGCTTCCCTTAAGCACTTTCTGTTGACATGCTTCCTAGCCAGTGAGTCATAAGTCATAAGCTGCCACAGAAAAGCTGTATCTTCTGAACTATTTATACATTACTTTCATTATGCGTAATTCACATCCTAGAAAGAAAACTAATGCTATCTGGTGCTCCAAAGAGCCATTCCCTCAGGTAGGCAGTTGTTTGTACTCAGCCACCCCTTTCTTCACTGATTCCATTGGATTTATTTTCTCTACGGCTCTTTAACAAGGAAGTTAAGATCTGTGCTCTGCAGGCTAACTATGGTGCAACCTAAAGCACATCAAATACAGATAGCATGGAGATCTGCATCAAAACATTACTTTAGTGTATTACACTATATATGGGTTAGAAGAGTGCTTAAACTCTTTATCTTCATTTTCAAGACCCTTCAAAACCTATTTCATTTTTGCTCTGCCTAGCAAATTTCATTTAGTATTGTTTCAGACTGCAAGTGATACATGTGTCGGGATATTATTACCCAGACATCACAAACCTGAAACTTTTCTTGTGCATTTTCCATGTTCAGGTTGTACTTCCCACGAACAAGTTTGAATATACCTCATAATCATACCCCAATTCCTCAAATGTTTTCTTCTAAAAGAAAACTTGACAAGTCACATTGATAGTACACTAAGACCATCATCTCCAAGGCAAATCAGCATTGACTCAATATTTCCTGGGTCATTCTACACCAATATATTTTCCTACCTTGTATACTAATTGACATCTATTTGGAGGACAGATTTTGTGCCGCTTATATATAGTATCTACCACAATGAAGTTTTTGCCAATAGCTTTAGGACCCTACATGCTATGTATTTACAGATGGGATGGTTCAACATGCTGCCTGTAGGGGGTTAAACTCAGTGTTCAAGACCAGCTTGATTGCCAGTGTGAGTGACACTGAGGAAGGGCAGAAGCAACAACCTTTGTCTGACTCTGTGATGGGCTGTACTTAAGCACTCAGGATTATATGTGGCTTTTAGTGCAGCATGCATTGCCCTAGCAGGAAATCTCAGGCCCTAATGCAAAAAAGGGCAACAAGACAGATGGAAAAGTACTATGGCCTGATCTTGGCCCAATGGATCACCATTAGATCATACTAAAGATAACAAAACCACGCGTAGAACCTGACAGGTGAAGAATTAGAGTATATATTTCAAAAGTACATTATCAGGGTTTGCAGCCTTGATCTCATTTTCAGAAGTAACTCTGTCACTCTCAGTTAAGACTTGGGCTTCAGAATGCTTAAGTCACTCAAAACTAGTAGCATGCTCTCTAGTCAGATGAGCATAACTTCATATAGTATGCCACATAAGAGTGTATATATTTTTTAAGACTGCAGTAGAGGGCCATAGCTCAGTATTGAAATTAATGACAATAAATGACCAAATTAATAACAGAAGCAAATATCCAGAGTTCATACCACACTTTTCAACCGTATTTGACCTTCTCCAGATTCCTGTAATAGGCTGTCTACAAGCTATTACAGCTCCTCATCTTCACCTTGCTTTATTCCTGCTTCCTACCGCGCCTCATTCCTACTTCCTAGTCCCTCATTATACTTAGGGTACACTGTGCTTATTGTGTAAAACCACATATACTACTAGATTTTTAGATAATCTTTTCTATTTTTTTTCAGTATTCATTTTCCAAATTCTCTGGAGAGACCACAATCACTGAAATACAGTGTGTCACATAAGCCATTGCCATGATCATATTTTCAAACACTGATAAAGAATACAGTGGTGAAATGCTGCATTCCACAAGGAAAGAAGGGTAAATAAGGTAAGTCCAAGTAAAAGCTGATTTACTGGTTCTTAGTTGAGAAATAAGCTTCCCTATATTTATCAAAAAACCTGTATGTATATTATCTATAATTTGAATCTAGAAAAACTCTATTTAATGATATTTGTTTTTACCTTGATTCCTCAGGACTGGGATTACAGTCATATGGGGTGCCTCCTCTTTGACTGGTTACTGGCAGATCTGAAATTTTCAGGGCTTCAGCTTCTGCCTGGATGAAAAATTCTGAGTTTTTTTGAGAATTCAGATGAAACTGAAACTCAGCACGAAAGTCATCTTCTTCCTGTTCCAGGATGTGTGTTTCTAATTGGAAGTAGAAGCAAATAATTTATTTATTTTTATTTTATTTTTGTTTGGACATAGAAGATGAGATTTCTCATCTGAAAATAGCAAAAAGAAGAAAGTACTCTAATTTCAGATTCACAGTTTCCTCATCGCACTAAGTAACAAGAGCTGTGTTACCTAGACCTGTAGAGCTGGATGTAGGAGTTATGACATATTTACTAGATTTTTCTCATGGAAACATGAAAAATTCATCACCATTTCCTCTTCCTCTTAAATGACTGCTTAAAATAATGCTGACCCTAAGAAATTATCTACCTATCCTTTGCAAAAGTAATCTCTACCCTAATAAAACATGAATTTCTGGTGTAGACAGGCAAATTTGCAGGTTGTGAACTAGACTCTTAGTTATATTGAGGTCAATCCATTTTGGCAACAAAAGGAGTATCACCAAGCTGTAATTAGCAACAACAAATTTAAGGCTTCATTATTCACTCCTGCAGAGTGTAAAGTACAGGCTCATACAACTAAAGAACTTGAAGAATGTAAAGCATAAATTGTGCCAAAGGGAAAATTACCTGATTAAAGTGTTGAGTGTGATAGTTCTCTTGAGCTTGGCTACTAGATATTTTTAGGACATATTTCTGATATCAAGGTATTTAAATGAAATGTCTACATACCATGAATGTTCTTTCACAAAGTAAGAACAAGTAAGTATTAATTACAGAACTATATTAAAAATGAGGAGAAATAAGCCTAAAAAAGCTGCAAATGTAAAAAGTGCATATATTCTTCATTCTTTCATTAATGGAGAGCAAACACTGGAGCTTTTGCTCATTTAATAAAGTTAGTATTTCCAAACATTTTGCTTAAATTATGTGGTATACATCCTCTGATCCAACTTATTACTTCCTCCTCAGAAATAATAAGAAACTGACTCCACAGTTGCAATCATCTACAAATAGCCTGAAAATACACATCAATCAGTCAGTATCAAGGTATCATGCTGCATTTAAGATACAAAAGCACAGATTCCAAGTCAAAAATATTGAAGACTGTCTCTAAAATCTGTTACAATACATTACTCTTTCCTTGAAAAAGAAAAGACACAGCCAATGGCAAAGGAAATACCTGAGGGTACAGAGAGATGTCTTGTGGATTGGCTGGAGTCAGCTGAACAAGTTCCCATACAAAGCTGTGTACTACCTTGAGGAAAAAGTTGTTATACCTGCTGCTCATCTGTATTCTCCTTATCTACTTCACATAAATCCACCTGAATCCAATCTCACCATACCTTTAACTGATAACCACACATAACCACTGATTTTTCTGAAGGAGGAACTGTGTACCAGAAATTCTATGTCTGAGCAGTATTAAACATGTGGGAACAATAACTTAATAAAACATTCCTTAACAAGTATAACCTAACACTACTTTCACTACTGTGATTGAAATGTGTTCCTCAGATCATTTCACAGTTAATGCAGAAACTGAACAGCCCACAGCAACCTGGATTCTTTGAGCAAATGTCTGCTTTTCACTGACTTAAAATCCTGCAGGTTTTTGAGAAGACATTTCCCTTTAAGTGCTGCTACATTTTAAAACTGGATTCAGTCTCTTGCTCCTCCTTACAGTAAATAGCAAGGATCTCTAAAGTAACAGGCATTTAAAAATTCACTATTTATACTAAAGTATACATAGAACCTGCCCCAGCTTGGGGGTGGTAACATGTCAGGACAAAGTTCAGAATCCTCTCCAGTTAGTACTACCTGAAAACAAACTTAATCTGAATTTCATTCGTTGCAAAGCTTTTTATACGGAGGCATACACTTGGTTGAGATGCATTTCCCATTTGAGTTATAAGAACTGCCTATCACACCTCATCTTGACCACTTCTCCCATTTCAGCTGCAGTGATCTCTATACATTTAGTTGCAGATTATGCTCGCACACACCAAAGGGAAAGTGCAATGCTTCACTTGCCATAATAACTTTTCCTTCCCTTTTTCTCTAGGGCATCAACATTTTCTGTGAGCCATTTGAAGTGCCTCAGGTAAAATCTGCTGCATTCTGTGGAAGAATTCAAGCACAACACATCTGTTGCAGTAACCTGTGACATGAACCTTTGTTCCTTGTTTAGCATTACCATACCCTCCATTGGCCACACTACATGAAAGCTGAAGGAAATACCTTCTCACTCCAGAATGCTAAAAAAAATTAGATGACACTAGCTACCACGATTATACTGGGACAAACCAAAAAAGGGATTCTATCCTTTTGGCATGCAAGTAACCAAATGAGTAAGTTTTTTTCCTTTCTAGAGTTACTGTTTTGTGAATTTGCTGCTTTTAATGCCAGGACTTAAAAAAAAAGTTCTCACAGTCATTGCAGTTGGAAGGAACCACTAGAGATCATCTAGTCCAGCCTTGCATCTCAATCAGGGTTACTTAGCGAAAGTTGCCCAGGACTATGCCCAGATGGCTTTTGAAACAGAGGAAGACTAGGCCAGTGTTTGATCACTTTCATAGTACAAAACTGTTTCCTTGTATCCAGATTGAATTTCATGCAGTTTAATTGTGTTTATTGCCTCTGCTCCTGCTAATGGGTACTACCAAAAAGAGTCTGACTTCTTCATTCCCTTCCATCAAGTATTATTCATACTGATAAAATGCACTCCTCTGGGCCTTCCCTTCTCAAGGCTGTCTCAGCCTCTCCTCATGCATAAGATGTCCCTTTGTGACTCTGCTGGACTTGCTCCAGTAAGACCATCTCTGTTTTTGTGCTAGAGACCTCAGAATTGGACTTGGCACTTTAGATGTGACCTCGCCAGTGCTGAGCATAGAGGACGGATCACCTCTCTTGATGTGCTGGCAACTCTCTTACTAATGCAGCCCAGGATGCTATCGGTCATCCTTGCAATGAGGCCACACTGGTTTATACTCAACTTGCTGCCCAGCAGGATCCCAATCCCTTCCTGCAGAGCTAACCAGTTGGTGTCCAGCTTGTACACTTACATGGAATTATTTCTGGCCAGATGCAGGGTTTCACATTTCCTCTTGCTAAACTTCATGAGGTTCCTCTCTGCCCAATTCTCCAGACTGTTGAAGTCCCTCTGAATAGCAGCATAATCCTCTGGTATATCAACTGCTCCTCACAATTCTGTATCATCAGCAAACTTGCTGAGGTTATACTCTGCTCCATCATCCATATTATGAATGATGATACTGAATGACACCAAATCCATTTTTAACTCTAGAAGTATACCACTTGCCTCCTACTGGACTTTGTGCAACTGATAAACACCATCTGGGCCTGATGACATTCAGCTAGTTTTCAACCAACCTCACAGTTTAGTTATTTAACCCATACTTTGCTTCTGCATTAGCATACTATGGGATAGTCAAAAGTCTTACCAAAGACAAGGAAAATAACACCCTGTTTTCTTTCCTTCTTATCAGAATAGACTACTTTTTAATATCTATCATCTCTCTTGGATCTCTCTTCTCTCCAGTACTGTATCCTGTGGGATTCTTCCAAGCAGATCTCCAAGGAGGTCAAAGTCTGTTCTGAAGTCCACAGCTGAGGTCCTGCTTTTTGTCCAGTTTCCTCCTCTCAGGATCCTGAACTCTACCATCACATACTAAGTGCAGCCAAGGCTGTCCCCCAGCTTCTTATCAACAACCAGTTCTTCCTTGTATGTAAGCATCACATCCAGAAAAGCACCTTTCCATGTTGGCACCTCAATCCTTTGCATAAGGAAATTGTCATCAGTGGCCTCCAGCAATCCCCTAGATCACTTGTGTCCTGCTGTTGTCCCTGCAGCAAATTATCGGGATTGTTTCAGGCCCCAAGGAGGACCAGGGAACAAAGGTTTCTTCCAGTTGTCTGCTTCTCCGAATCCTCCTCCATGCCCTTCCCTCTTACTGACAAGATCATAGAACCATAGAATCGTTAGGGTTGGAAAGGACCTTAAGACCATCTAGTTCCAATCCCCCTGCCGTGGGCAGGGACACCTTACGCTAAATCATATCAACCAAAGCCTCGTCCAACCTGGTCTTGAACACTGCCAGGGATGGAGCATTCACAACCTCCCTGGGCAAGGGAGTGCCTCACCAACCTAACAGGAAAGAATTTCCTCCTTATATCCAACCTAAATTTCCCCCTTTCTCAGCCTGTCTTCATACAGGAGGTGCTCCAGTCCCCTGATCATCCTCGTGGCCCTCCTCTGGACTTGTTCCAACAGTTCCATGTCCTCTTTATGTTGAAGACACCAGAACTGCACACAATACTCCAGGTGAGGTCTCACAAGAGCAGAGTAGAGGGGCAGGATCACCTCCTTCGACCTGCTGGTCACGCTCCTTTTGATGCAGCCCAGGATATGGTTGGCTTTCTGGGCTGCAAGCGCACACTGAAGCCAGCTCATGTTCATTTTCTCATCGACCAACACCCCCAAGTCCTTCTCCACAGGGCTGCTCTGAATCTCTTCTCTGCCCAACCTGTAGCTGTGCCTGGGATTGCTCTGACCCAGGTTTAGGACTTTGCACTTGGCATGGTTAAACCTCATGAGGTTGGCATCAGCCCACCTCACAAGTGTGTCAAGGTCCCTCTGAATGGCATTCCTTCTCCCCAGTGTATCAACTGAACCACACAGCTTGGTGTCATCGGCAAACTTGCTGAGGGCACACTCAATCCCACTGTCCATGTCAGTGATGAAGATGTTGAACAAGACCGGTCCCAACACTGAACCCTGAGGGACACCACTCGTTACTGGTCTCCAGCCAGACACTGAGCCATTGACCACAACTCTTTGTGTGCGGCCATCCAGCCAGTTCCTTATCCACCGAGTGGTCCATCCATCAAATTGATGTCTCTCCAATTTAGAGACAAGGATGTCGTGTGGGACAGTGTCGAATGCTTTGCACAATTTTGGGTAGATGACATCAGCTGCTCTACCCCTGTCCACCAGTTCTGTAGCCGCCTCATAGAAGGCCACCAAATTGGTCAGGCAGGATTTCCCCTTAG